AAGCAGCATGTCAAAATGTTATCCTATTAATTACAAATGATAATGCAGGGTGTGTGGGTGTGGGTGTGGGTAAATGCTGATAAAAAAATATTCACACCCATACCCACCCATACCCACACCCCTATCTTAAAAAATATCGCAATATGCACAGAATAAAATGTAAATCTATGGTAGCACCTTCTAGCATCTGATGGTTCTTCTAATCCCTGGTAGTACCTTCTAGTACCTGGTAGTCTATGGTCAATTAGCTGGAACATATTAATAGAATTTGAATTATTTCATAATTCATTTTTTTTTTTTGAATTACTTTGTAATTCATTTCCGTCATCCAGTGATTTCAGAGTTATTCAGTTAGTCCCTCAACTATTTCACTTCAATGAAGAGCTAAGGAAAAAATGTAATAATAGAACTCTAAAGATGCCCGTCGAATCCCTTGAGGAAGGACGAAACACGTGTCGTTTCGATCTCTAAGTTCTAAAAATGATATTATCTATTTCTAAGTTTTGATTTATGCATCATGACAGTTTGTAAACATGCCTGATGAGGACTGTGTAAACAGCAAGCGAAACGCGTGATGCGATTCACCAAGACTCTTATCATCTATAATAATCTATACAATTATAATTAAAAATATTGGTCTAGATTGCGTAGAAATTGCTTTTTAGTAAAATATCGATTAATACTATTTTTAATGATTCAAATATTGGGTAGATACTTTTTTGTCAAAAAGAACGTATTAATTAAATCAAAGCAAAATTCTCTATGATTTGATATCAAAGTAAAAAATTCTAACTGAATTTAAATTGAGAAAACAGTCAATCAAGAATCATAAAATTAATAGAGAATGCTTATCATCTAACGAGTTTAGTTCTCTTTTCAAGGATAGTACATGATATATAAACCTTTCATTTCTTTTGCCATAAAATACTAATAACTCCTGAATCAAGAGAGATAAAGACTTTTTCTTTTTACCAAAAAGTAGCCTTGGCTTTTCTCTATCTCTAATATGAAAATAAAGTATTAGTTTTTAATAGTTTCTGAAATACAACTATTTTACGATCGAACAGTAGTTTTGAATTTTGAGACCCTCGTCCTAAAAAATTCAAAACTCAACTGAGGGATGTTATTTCAATTTGAAAATTGTATCAAATACTTTAAATTATCGTTCGATTATTTACACAAAGTACATTCATTATTGAAATGTTCTTGAGAAGATACGGATTAGAAATCTAGAATCATTCATTCTACCATATCTTCTATAGCTAATGTTTTTATGCTGGTTTCCAAAGAGTCAACTTGCTTCATCTGTTTATGGTAGTCGCAAGAGGTTCTACTAACGAATAAAAAGTACATAACCTTCAATTCTTTTGTCTGATATTTTGACTAGAAGTAGAGCTCCGTAAACTATGATCGCATGTTGCAACCCGAGACCGATAAGCTTCAATGCCAAGGATTTATGATGAACCTATTGGTTTTTTTTTCCATAGGGTCCAAACGAAACTTCTTGACACTTTTCTGGTCTTCCAGTATTTACATGGGTTAGCCTGCGTTGTCTTTTTAACAAAGGAAGATCCGTATGTCTATATTGCACTACAGATAGGATACTCTGCACTCCGTTGTAATCTTAAGGGGCATTTGAACTTAATCAGAGCAGGGCATTCACTGAAAAAAAACTGCAAGGCAAATGGTTAAAATTAGCTGAAAATATAGGTCAATTTTTGACGATTCCCATCAACTTTCATGTGGAAACTTCCCAAAGAATGCTTCATAGATCAGGCAAACTAATATCATTTGACATAGAATTTTCATTGATGATAGATCCAGCACTAAGCTGTCGAATAAGATGTTTACCATCATTAAATTTGTTTTCTATATTGCGATATTCTCATCTAAAAAAAATCTATGTAGACATCCCAACTCTTCCGCATGAAGGTCGATCAGAGTTCTATAGTTCAAGAACTTTTTTCAAGTGCTTACGTATTAAATTCAAGTCATCAAATATATCGTGTTTAAAAAACTGATAATCATATTGAATGTAATTAAGTATTTTGATTGTTAAATAAACATTTATTTATTTGAAGTAAAATTTATGAAACTAATGTAGAACTCTACATTGCATAAAATTTTAAAAACAAAAAAATTATATTTTTTTGATAATTCATTCTCCGTTCAAAAAAAAAATATTTCATCGATCACAATATATAATAAAGAGTGAGACAAAAACTACAAAATGAATAAAAAATAAAGTCATATCAATGTTTAGTCATTCTATTTTTTATTGCTTTCTCATTATTTTTTTCTTCTTCTTTATTCTTTGAAGAATCACTTATGAGGTAAGCACCAGCAGCAAGTACAACTCCAATGAATATTCCAGCTACGATTGATCCTCCAACTGCTACTTGTACCTCAAATAATAAATTTAGTTTTTTTTTTCTTTTTGATTTTGAATTTCAATACTAAATGAATGTTCTTACTTGACGAGAACTTGCTTGACCATAACGACAATCAGTAGCAAAATGTTCACAATTACTATATAATACATTATAACCTTCTTGATCAGTAACACTATGAGCTTTTGCAAGAATAATTGCTACAGGTAATGGTCTAAAATAGCTCAAATGATTAACTATTTAATCTAAAGCAGTAATTTCCTATAATCGAGTCGGGTACTAGACACTCGGTCCGGTCCAGAGCATGATCTTAAAATATGGAACTCACCCGGCAAATAAATGCGATCTCGACATTTCAAAATATTTTTATCTTTACAAAATCGTAATCGTGCAGGACACTAATTTAAGCAACGATTTATTTATTCATGCATCTGAATAATTATAAAACAACTAATATAATCGGTCTTTGCATAATAGAGAAAGATTGAAAGAGATTATATTTAATAGTAAAATAAAATTTGTAAAACACATTCTTTTGAGAAGCTAATAAGATAATAAATTTTGACTCGAAAAATAAAATCTCTCTCTTTGTTTTTTCTATAACTTTCAGAAGATTCTCTTGAAATCTTTTTTTGACTAGATGACATACTTCCATGTTGAATCGAGATAATTATTAACACAAACTTTGCCACCATATTTCAATACATCAGAGATATTTGATTTAATTATTTTAGCTTTATTAAATTGTACACCAGAAATAGTTGTTATATTTCCCCATATACCAATTGATTGTCCAACACCATCATTATCACCCCATCGATGAATGACTTCATTATCACCTAAATCAATTCTTTATCAAAAATAAAAATAAAAGAAAACAATTCATTTACCAATATAAATTGCCCAATGACTATAAACACTTCGAACAAATTGTATCATATCTCCTGGTTGTGCTTTTTCAAGAAAATCTTCCCAATTTTTTATATCCATTTTTTCAGACATAATTAATCACATATAAATCTAACATAAATATACAACAACATCTATTATTCTTTTTCTAGTCTATATATAAAATTAATCTGGGAAAAAGTGTATGTTGACTTCCTATATGTGAGTCATTTAAATTTAAATGGATTACATGAGCAACCAATGACAATATAATTGTTACCGTTCTGCAATCTTTCCAAGTTATTATGTAATTTTTTTGTGAAATTTTTAGCATTCGATAGATGCCGACAATTGCATACTCTTTTTTTTTTGTTTTTGAGAACAAGCAAAGCATTCTTAATGTTTTATCTTGTCCTATTCCATAAATATCAGTATAAAAAAAACTAAAAGACAATAATGACAGTGTCAATTAATATTTTCTTTTTCATTTTTTTTTCTCTTCTTCTAGATCTATCAGCAGCAGCAACAGTAATGAATGATAGACCATTCAAAGATGGTATAACATTCCAATAGTACAAAAAAAAAAACATGAAGAACAAAACAGAAAGAAGAGAGAGAGAGAGAGAGAGAGAAAACAAAAAAAATATTACACATAGAAATAAAACACACACACGCACACACACATGCATACACATATGAAATTGACTTGCGTACCATCGATTGGTCTATTCTCTTTTCATAATTACTTTTTTTTCTGATCGAGAACCAGCTCGATTATGACTGACATATATTGCCTATATATATATATATATATAACTACAAATAATACAACTGTATCATCATCATTATTATTATTATTACTCTTATAATAATCTGAATAGAAAAATGAAAATATAAGTTAAAATATTGACAATAATAGTTGACCAAACTGACGATATAATGGATATAGCTGATGCAGAAATAGATGTATTATTTGTATAATTGAATAATGAATTATTAATAGATAAAGGTAATAATAATTCTTCAGATGGAGAAAATGGTAAAAGTTCAATTTCAAAACATGGTAATCTAGTCACATGATCTTCATTAGTTTTTGTCAATATCGATTTGTTTGATGATGACGAGACGGAATGCAGTTGAAATGAACCATCAGCTAAATGACATGTATCAAAACAATATGGTTGTTGTCCATAATCACGATTTGGTACAATACCTCCTATATATAGATATAAATCAAAAAAAAAAAAAAAAAAAAATATTTATTTCAATCTAATTATTTGATAATATTAAACTTTCTATTCGTTTATCTCTGTGCTTTATGATTCTCTCTTATCTTTTCAATACTCATCAAAATTCTGTTGATGTCATAATATATAACAAATCATTTTCAATGCTATTAAATGTCACATTCAAAAAAAGCAATATAAAACTAGAATTGATCTATCATAAATCATTAGTAAAAAATATCTAATCTCGAATTAAACGAATAGATGAAGTGATTATAATGTCAAGTATACTTATAAAACATTTTTACAAGTAGTATTTATCAAAAACAAAACAAAAAATTTTCTATCTATGAATTAAAATCTATTCGATTAAAGAATGATAAAACGTAATAAAACATCAAGATTCTACTAATTGTTATATATATAATATTTCTTATCCGTATGTCATACATGTGATAAAACACTTATGTTATTACTCGAATCTGTTGTCAACTTGTCAATAATCGCAAGTAAATCAAAAAATAGAATATTATAGTGAAATTTTTTCATGACAAAAAAAAAATCTTATTCAAATACACTTATTAGTCTAATGAGATCAAAAGAAAAAAGAGAATCTAATTACCATTGCAAAAGAACAATGGTTGTCCAGCAAATAATGGTTCACGATCACTGGGTCTAAATGTAGGACAAACACGCTCGACTTCATCACAGATCGTATGACAAGGTGGTATAAGATGATTTTGATAAAAATATCGAATTTTGACTGAACAAGTCCATGTTTGATAAGCTTTCTAAAATATATCAAAATAATAATAATTATTATCTTTATAGGAAAAAAACAAGCACAAAATTCTTACTAGACAATCGGAATTGATTATTGAATAACGATTTTCGGCTAATGCTGAATCGATAGCTTGCATATAAGTAGCAAATAATATTGATGCTTTTCGAGCTTCTTCGTCGTCTATAATTAATTGATTGAAAATTTTTCGACATTCGTTTTCTGTTATTTCGTTGAAAAAATTTGTTTGATTTATCGAATGATTTAATGTATAATTTGAACAAAATGGTAAATAATGTGAATTTAATAATAATTGATTGATATTGTCTAATTTTTCGAATGGAGTTTTTTGTGCACGACATGTTTTTGAACATAATCGATCGATATGTAAAGTATTTATTGGTAAACATTGTTGTTCGTCCTTTTGAATTATGGACGGTGATAATTTTGGACCAAGTGTTGTTGTTGTTGTTGTTGATGCGTATGTTGACATGAATTTTATTGAAGATAAGGAGAAAAATATTATTGACCAATGAAGATGATTGATTAGGAAAAGCAATGTGAACATGTAGATGAGCAAATGTTTCACTAAACATTGCTGCGGCCGATAACGGCGCCGACAATGATAAGTTTTTAAATTAGTAACTATCGATAATGATGATTCGATAGATGAAAAATTATATTCAAGTTCTTTTATTTGTTGATAAAGATGTTCGTATTTAGGAATTTGAATATCATCATCACCATCATCAGTGACGAGAAATACAGACATAGCACAATGCCACCTTGTGCATGGCTAACCTAAGTAAAAAAAAATAATAATATGAATATTCCAACAAGAATATGTAATGTTTAGAAATGCTTTCATGTACTAGATGCAAGAACATTTAATGAAATTTCTTGTCAGTAGAAATTTTCATTTGAGTAATGTAACATTAGAAGATTCAAACTATATTGTATTGACGAAGTTTAATAAGTGTAACTAATCAATAAAAATTGACTATGTTTTAGTCTGAAAAGATATTAATCAGAACTATAAATGATAGATTAATTTATACGATTAGTATTAAAAGAATAAGATTGACTCAATAGATTTTGACATAAATCTCAAAGGCAATGTATTATTTGTTGAGTTAAATTTTTCTTTTTTTACATGAATTTTATTATTTACTGATATTCTCTTGGATTTAATTTTTAATACGCTTCATATGTAATTGAAAAATATAACTTAGTATTATAAATTCTTTTACGGGATTCTACTCAATATGAGTAAATTGATAGATACTTAATACTGATAATTTCCGGAGAAAAAATTGGTTCAATGAACTTTTCATTTGTAGTTATTATATATTGAAAATCTTGATTAATATTTTTTGAAATATTAGATGTACACATTTTGTTTTTTAATCATGAAAATATCTGTCAAATCTTGAAAAACTTATATATAGATGTATAGATGTCACTAATAAATTGAATATCTAATTTAGAAATGATAGAATAGAAAATGATTATTGTCTTCCTTTGTAAATAAAAAGAAATGATCTTCTCAGAATATAGAAGATAATTATTGCTTTAAGATTTAGTTATTAAACGTATCCGGTAATCTTGTCAATAAACTATGAGGTCATATATTTCAACTACAAAATTTAGCACGATTCTAGTTTCTTTTTTCTTTAAAAAAGAAAAAGAAAGAGAGAATTTTTTATCTAGTAATATATTTATACCCTCGATATATTTGACAAAATCGATTTGTGATTGTTGATCTTGTTGTTGAGCATCCATCTTCAAGCACCGATGTCATCGAAATGTTCAATATTTTATCATATATATTCTTATTGTTTTCGACCGACTATTTTATCTAGAAAAAAAAAACAATAAATATTCAAAAATAATAAAACATAAATATTTGTTGTTTTTTTTTCTTTTTTTTTTGAAAATGTAGATATTTGATCATCGTCATCATCATCATCAAGTCACATTTCAATTACTGAACATATAGTTATTCTTGTTACATACAATGAGAACTCAATTGCAGAAAACACGTTCGTGCTCTCTTTAGTAGCCACCACTACCGCTGATGATGCCTCTACTTTTATCGTCTCTATTATTATTTTTTTTTTTTTGTGCGCTCTTTCTCTTTCTTTTTCATTTTAGTTCTAGTGGTCCCAGCTGCCACGACGACTAGGTTTTTTTTCTTTTTCTCTCTTTTTCTGTCGGTTTTTTTTTCTGTCTATACTAGGCGCTATTTTCTATTAACAAATACACTGCTCTACTGACTGGCTGTTACAACGAGAAATACAAGAATGAACGAACATTTCGCATCATTGTACGGAAAGAGAGAAAGACTACCGCAGTGCTCTCTTTCCGATACAAAGACTCGATCGTCCTGATGCTCTCTTTCTTTGTGATTATTCTATTTCAGGCACCGAGCCTATTTCCATTTCCTTATCGTATCTTCTTCCCTCTTTACGTTTTTTTTTTTCGAACTGGACATAAACATACAATTCTTATAGATTGGGAAGATTATATAAATATTTATCAAAAAACCATACAATGAAAGTATATGAAAAAAAAGAACACTAACAAGAAAAACATAACATATATAGATGCATATACAAGTTATAAACGCAATACGATCATTGGATATTCTCTAGAGATTAAGACCATATTCACTACCGATGTTGCCTTCATTGTAGCCGTCTTACTCAAGTTTTCCAATTCCTTGACATGTTCTTCTTTCGCTCTTGTCGATGTAATGTCGCTTCCCCCCCCCCCCTTCCTTTCCCGTTTCTCCTTGCCTCTCCCTCTGTTCCATTATGCTCGCCGCACTCATGCCTTGTTCACTCTTATCATTCGTCTTTCTTGAGAAGGGCAAGCAAACGGGTGGCAGAGACAGAGAGAGAGAGAGAGAGAGAGAAAGCGACGACGAGGACGATGATAATTCTACTCAAGAGAAAACGCAATGGTTTGCCGACTGAAATCGAGATATAGACATCACTTGTTTCTTTACAAATTCTTTTTTTTTTCTTTAAACACTTAAAAATCAATACTAAAAAGAAAAGGAAGTTTTGTTTTAAAAAAAACCTATACTAATAATATATTCTACATATTATGTCGAATAAACATGCCCGAAAGAAGGAATACACGAACAGTAATACAACAAGTCCTATTTCCGATTCACACCAACCAATATATCTATCGTTTGAATTGATAGTATAAAAAAAAAATAGGGAAAGGGAACACATGCACACACACACATACAACGCCTGCAGCATTACTTTCTCTCTATCCTTTCGATAGCTAATGTATGCGTTTAATAGAACATTAAAAGTCATTGAAAAGTAATTTTCATCACACACACACACAATTCATATATTGTATATGTGATATATATATATATATAGTTTTTAACGATAGATAATCTAAAAAAATAAACATCGACTTGATTACTTTGCTTTTGTTTTTTTTTTTTTTTTTTTTTTTTTTGATACATAAATTTATTCGTGTATACATCCTTACTATTTTATATTTAACATTTGTTTTGGGGAGATCTTTCGATTTATGAAAAAAACAAAATGTTAACTTACATAATAATTTACCATTCAGTTAAGAAAAAGGAAACGATTGTCTGTGTATTTTTCTTTTTGAATAGTTCGTTTCTTCACACTAATATAACGACATATACACAAGCACATTCTCCGTTTTCTATATGGATGTCTATTGTTTAGACGGTGCTCCCTATCATTCCGCAATTTGCTATCCTGTCATATTGTGTCCCGTGTGTGCCATTGTCAATCTCACTTAGACGACGAGCAGTCAGCCAACATCGATTATGAAAAGTTGGAGACGTTTGGCTGTTCTCTAGGCAATATAATAAAAGCTATTTCGTATGCCATACAATACAAAAACGATACGGTACAAAAGAATATATTCTCAATCACACAAATAATTTATTTTGTCCATATATCTCTATCTCATCTCGTTTTAGATATAGACAACAAAAAAAAAAAAAAAAAAAGAAAATGACGTTGCCATAAACTAACTGTCAATAAGAGTAACGATAGTTTTGCGATTTCTCTATTTGTCAGATATTTGTATTCATCTCAATGTATATCATCGATTGTGAAAGAAAAAAACAAATGAGAATGATAGAAAATCAACTAGTTATCTATGTTTGTTTGTTAAAATAGAATTTCGGTTTTTGTTTTGTTCTTCTCTATTCTGATTAATATCGAACAACTAATTGTCTTTATTACTATGTATATTGAAGTAATATTATTCCATTACAACAGTAACAATAATAACACATCAGACGATGTTTCTTTCCTTTCTTCATCTTCTTTTCTATTTTCTCTTGTCATTATTATTATTATCATCATCATCATCATCACAGTCGTTGTTCTTCGAAACCTAAATAGCATATTCATTCATCTAATTATACAGGAATATGCAAACATTAAGACTAAGACAAGAAGATCATTTCTTCTTCTTCTTCTTCGATTTTCTTTTACCTGTTTGTTTATAATACAAATCATGTTTTGTTGATAGAGATATATGCGCACCCAAGTATGACGGCGATTGGAAATATGTTGTAATGCCGTCTTGCTATTGCTCTACAGCAAATGATTTTTATTTCTTTCTCTCATTTTTCTATATGTTTCCTATCGTTCGCTTTCCTCTTTTCTATATTATGATTCAATTCCTTGATCATTTGACCTACATCGTTTCTATATGTGTTGTTCGTTGCTATTCTCTCTTTTTTTTTTTTTTTTTTTTTTTTAACATACACACTAAGGAGACAAGAGAATGAAGTGATAGAACGGTTGGTCTTTTCTTACTAGTATGCTGTCATTATTGTCATATAGGCTTTCTTTTCTAGCACTACACGATCGTGACTTATTCGACAAGAAAATGAAAGAAAGAGAAAAACTATTAACGACTCGCCATCTCGTTCTTTTCTTTTTTTTTTCTTCTTCTTCTTTTTTCACGCTCATGCTTGTTTTTTCTTTAGGGAGATCTCGGACTAACTATAGAATGAACTACACATTATGACATTTTCTTCTTGTATATGAAAAGCGAGATCTTCTCAATAATAGTAGTAAAGTCTCGTGTTCTCAGTTCCCATTTGCACTTATAACCTAGACAAAAGACAACGAACTGAGAACTCATAAACATGAGAGAGAGAGAGAGAGAGAGAGAGAGAATGCAATCTGTTTCCGGGAGTTTATTCACAAACTCGCACATCACAAACATACACACACAATATTCATCGTTGAAGAAATAAGAGATAAATCTCTGATGAGTCGTCAAAAAAAAAGAAGAATCCAATCAATTTTTTCCTTCTTTCTAACTTTCAACAATAGACAACAATCGATCATTGATAGAAACATACAAAAGAAGATGATAATATATAATAATTTCATCTAACTAGATTATAATAATTATTAGTATTGTCATTATTTGCTTCATCTCATAGTTTCATACATTCTTATT